CCACAAATCATTCTTCTTCCTTCCCACACCCACTTTCCTGTAACCACAAACTTCTGCTGAACACTCCAATACTACTTTCTTAAATCTACTCCATACCTCTTCAACCTCATTGCCTATATTCTCACTGGCCCATCTTTCTTCCAATAGTTGTTTATATCTTACTCTAACTGCCTCCTCCTTTAGTTTATAAACCTTCATTTCTTTCTTACTTGTTGATTCTATTCTCCTTGCATCCCATCAACCTTTTATTCTCACTGTAGCTATAACTAAAAAGTGATCTGATATATCTATGACCCCTTTAAAAACATGCATATCCTGAAGTCTACCCATCTACTACCCATCTAGTCTAACAAACTACTGTCATTATGCCTATATCATATCTTGTATGCTTATCATTTTTTGTCTTCATTAAATATGTATTACCTATAACCAAATCTTTTTCTATACTAAGTTCTATCAAAATCCCCCATTATCATTTACACCTGGCACCTCAAACTAGAGAACAAATGAATTTGTCAGTTAAAAATAGGAGAGGAGAGTTATTAAATGGAGAGTTAGAAGTATTGGGAAGATGGAGGGAATATTTTGAGGAATTGTTAAATGTTGATGAAGATAGGGAAGCTGTGATTTCGTGTATAGGGCAAGGAGGAATAACATCTTGTAGGAGTGAGGAAGAGCCAGTTGTGAGTGTGGGGGAAGTTTGTGAGGCAGTAGGTAAAATGAAAGGGGGTAAGGCAGCTGGAATTGATGGGATAAAGATAGAAATGTTAAAAGCAGGTGGGGATATAGTTTTGGAGTGGTTGGTGCTACTATTTAATAAATGTATGGAAGAGGGTAAGGTACCTAGGGATTGGCAGAGAGCATGCATAGTTCCTTTGTATAAAGGAAAAGGGGACAAAAGAGAGTGGAAAAACTATAGGAGGAGAAGTCTGTTGAGTATACCTGGTAAAGTGTATGGTAGAGTTGTTATTGAAAGAATTAAGAGTAAGATGGAGAATAGGATAGCAGATGAACAAGGAGGCTTTAGGAAAGGTAGGGGGTGTGTGGACCAGGTGTTTACAGTGAAACATATAAGTGAACAGTATTTAGATAAGGCTAAAGAGGTTTTTGTGGCATTCATGGATTTGGAAAAGGCGTATGACAGGGTGGATAGGGGGGCAATGTGGCAGATGTTGCAGGTGTATGGTATAGGAGGTAGGTTACTGAAAGCAGTGAAGACTTTTTACGAGGATAGTGAGGCTCAAGTTAGAGTATGTAGGAAAGAGGGAGATTATTTCCCAGTAAAAGTAGGCCTTAGACAAGGATGTGTGATGTCACCATGGTTGTTCAATATATTTATAGATGGGGTTGTAAGAGAAGTAAAGAATCACACAAAGTGGGAGTTGTCACAGTTGCTCTTTGCTGATGACACTGTGCTCTTGGGAGATTCTGAAGAGAAGTTGCAGAGGTTGGTGGATGAATTTGGTAGGGTATGTGTTACAAAAAATGCGATTTCTAATAAGCATAGAGATCTCCAGTGAATACTAGAAATTACTGCCCCTCTAGCACCCAGCCTGTTACTGAGTTTTTGTAACAAGTAGTCACTATCCTGGTCCAATTATCCATTAGAATTTAGTAAGATTCCATAGTGCTTCAGGATTACAACTGGTAGGCTACTAACTAAAGAAATTAAAATTTAATAAGTTTATTAACAATTAAGTTGTCTAGGCATATATTATCAAAGTAAATTATAGTAATCAACTGAATATAATATAGGATACAAGTTCCTACACTTCTCTCGTGTACAGTGATGTGATTTGTGCTGAAGGCACAAATCACATCTTAACCCGTAAACGGTCCGAACATATATATACGTTTTTTCAATGTTTGAAAGTATGTAAAAAAGTAATCTTCTTTTTGTTTTTTTACATTTGAAAATATGTAAAAAAAAATGTAGATCTACTTTTGTAGCACTACACATGTGAACGTAGATCTGCTTGGACCGTTTACGGGTTAATGGCTTTTAAGTACCGTCTGGTACATTGTTAGCAATTAATAACATAATACAAACATATACAAGTAAGTTTGTGTGTATGTGTGTAAGTGCTCTAAGTAGTTCGCTGTCTCAAGACTCGACTAGACTTAACCAGTGACTGACTAAAAGTCCTCACATAAATTGACTTCTTGACCAACCTGGCAATCAGAACAGCTTGCTTGAACAATAAAGCGACTGTTAAGCTGAACAGCAATATAACAAGCAACAGCAACACAGAATCAGGAGCAAGGAGATAATATAATGACACTAAGTAGGGACCATCTGCAGATCCTCCACAAAACTCACAAAACTCCCATACTACTGAATCTAAGTTCAGCATTAGAAAATCCCCGACTGTGACAGTACACGGATACCAGTACAAATTAGGTCAGAAGCTACAGCTCAGGACCTGAGTTTCTCAGCGTGTCTATGCGACACACAACCTCAGTACAACGTCGAAAATCACTAAGTCTAGGCTATGTCCTGTGAACAGAGTTACACAAAACCAACAAGAAGAAAGCGACAGAGACAATCTTCCAACAAAGGCCAGCAAGGGAGAGCTAGAGGCACGTCTTGCTAGAAGAACGTCAAACAGACAAGAGCCAGCACAGCCCAGGCAGACTACTACAGGCGAGGTGTGATCACCCCCCCCCCCAATCACGTGACTCTCCGTGCTGCTGCTGCTGCCGCCCAGCAACACTGAGAAGCCGGCAGCGTAACGAGCGGAGAAAACACAGTAGTTAGACAATGTTGTCAGCTACTTATCTCTCGAACTATGAGCACTGAATGATATATAAATGTTACATCCTACCTAATAATATAACTAAGTCAAATAATAATATAAAGCAATATATTTATGATTTAGCTATTATCGCAAATACAAGCAATATAAAATTATATGAACAGATAATATACATTATATACATTGTGACCCATCCAGGGGTCGCAATATATGTAAAAGAAGAAAATTAAAAGTGAATACAGGAAAGAGTAAGGTTATGAGGATAACAAAAAGATTAGGTGATGAAAGATTGGATATCAAATTGGAGGGAGAGAGTATGGAGGAGGTGAATGTATTCAGATATCTGGGAGTGGATGTGTCAGAGGATGGGTCATTGAAAGATGAGGTGAATCATAGAATTGATGAGGGGAAAAGGGTGAGCAGTGCATTTAGGAGACTGTGGAGGCAAAGAACTTTGTCCTTGGAAGCAAAGAGGGGAATGTATGACAGTATAGTTTTACCAACACTCTTATATGGGTATGAAGCATGGGTGATGAATGTTGCAGTGAGGAGAAGGCTGGAGGCAGTGGAGATGTCATGTCTGAGGGCAATGTGTGGTGTGAATATAATGCAGAGAATTCGTAGTTTGGAAGTTAGGAGGAGGTGCGGGATTGCCAAAACTGTTGTCCAGAGGGCTGAGGAAGGGTTGTTGAGGTTGTTCGGACATGTAGAGTGAATGGAGCGAAACAGAATGACTTCAAGAGTGTATCAGTCTGCAATGGAAGGAAGGCGGGGTAAGGGTAGGCCTAGGCCTAGGAAAGGTTGGAGGGAGGGGGTAAAGGAAGTTTTGTGTGCGAGGGGCTTGGATTTCCAGCAAGCATGCGTTAGCATGTTTGATAGGGGTGAATGGAGACAAATGGTTTTTAATACTTGACGTGCTGTTGGACTGTGAGCAAAGTAACATTTATGAAGGGATTCGGGGAAACCAGCAGGCCGGACTTGAGTCCTGGAGATGGGAAGTAGTGTCTGCACTCTGAAGGAGGCATGTTAATGTTGCAGTTTTATAAACTGTAGTATAAAGCACCCCTCTGGCAAGACAGTGATGGAGTGAATGATGGTGAAAGTTTTTCTTTTTCGGGCCACCCTGCCTTGGTGGGAATCGGCTGGTGTGTTAATTAAAAAAAAGAAAAATTACCTACCACACCCTCTCTAACCATTTCTTCCACTTTAACATTTAGGTCCCCTACCACAATTACTCTTTCACTTGTTTCGAAGGTTCCTCAACATTCACTTAACATCTCCCAAAATCTCTCTCTCCTCCAGGTGCATACACACTTATTATAGTCCACTTTTTGCATCTGAATCTTATTTTAATCCACATAATCCTTGAATTTATACGTTTATATTCTCTCTTCTCCTTCCATAACTGCTCCTTCAACATTATTGCTACCCCTACCTTAGCTATAACTCTCTCAGATACTCCTGGCTTAATCCCATTTATTTCTCCCCACTGAAACTCCCCTACCCTTTTTAGCTGTTTCACTAAGAGCTAGGACATCCAGCTTCTTTTCATTCATAACACTTGCAATCACCTCTCTCTTATCATCTCAACTACATCCATGCACATGTAAACAACCCAGTTTTATAAAGTTTTTCTTCATTTCTTTTTTAGTGGTAGAATACAGAGAAGGGGTTACTAGCCCATTTTTCCTGGCATTTATTATAGTGTTGGAAATACATGACACTGCTCTTAATGATATTACTATGTCTATAGTTACACATGAGTTCATGAGGTGGGAAATACAATGCTTGTACAATGAAGACTCTAGGTGGGGACAATAAAATTCAGAGAGATGTAGATAAATGGTTCAGAGAACCGACAACTTGATAAATTAGACTTGTGTGCAGCACTTGGATACCTTTATTGTGGAAACATCTTGCCACACAGTGGCTTTGTCAGTCCATTATTCTCTGTACTGGACTGAGGAAGCCAGTCACAAAACGTTTCCACAATAAAGATACCCAAGTGTTGCACGTATCTAATTTATCAATTACGAGAGTTGTTTGTGATAGCTCGAGTGAACGATAGCTTTTGTGTTTCTATCTTTGGGTTGCCGTACCTTGATGAGGAACAGCTATTGTAATTTCTTTGTAACACACTGGGTGTCTCCCATCAAGGTAGAGTCAAAAGAAAATATAACTGTGAAACAAATATGAAGAAATGACATGTAAACAACACAATAAATGGCTAGAAACACAACTTACACAATATCTTCCTTGGAGACACCAGAGGGATGCTGACCATACATCAGAAAGTGACGATTCATAATTTCAACTTTTTTTGTCCCTCCTTCATCTGTATAGACCAGAGAGGGATAACACTTCACAAGTTCTTGCAGACTGGTTGTTTTGTTGTAGAGAAAAGACTGAAGTGCTGAGATGATCATTGTGCTATCCTTCAGTTGCTAAAGACAAAATTATTACTTGTATTGTGATGTTCACAAAATTACAAAACATACAAAAACCTTATAAGTTGAGAAAACCTAGGGAACAATTGGATTTAACAGTTAAACTTTTAACTGTGTCCAAAGTAGTTGTATGTAGGTGATGTCTATGTTTGATGTACACACAATTTTTCATGCCTTCTGATACACCACCTGCCAAAATTTTTTACCTTCATTCAACTGTTTGGGTCTCCTATAGCCTCCTCATGCCATGATGCAGTGCATCATGGGGTAACACTTCCTAACTAGAAATAAAACCAGTTGTTGTTGTTCCATCACCAGCTTCCCTACCAGCAAACAGGGGTATGGAACTGCCAGGAAGATGCCTTATTCATGCAACAATAAACACGTTATGCAGATTTAGCCTAGGATAACACAATACAGTAAGACCCCCATATATGCGGGTTCAGTATCCACTGTTTCAGTTATCCACATTTTACCATGGCCCGAATACAGTGGATCCCCAGTTATCAGCTGTAATTCGTCCCAGAAGGTCGGCTGATAACCGAAATGGCTGATAACCGAATTAATAATTCCCATAAGAATTAATGGAAATACAATTAATTTGTTCCAAACAAAAATACAGCGGTCCCTCATTTTTCGTAATTAATCCGGTCCTGGAAGTGTGACTATTATCGAAATTGACGATTTTCGAATCAATTTTCCCCATAAGAAATGATGTAAATACAATTAATCCATTCCTGACACCCAGAAGTATTATTATTATTATCACACTGGCCGATTCCCACCAAGGCAGGGTGGCCCGAAAAAGAAAAACTTTCACCATCATTCACTCCATCACTGTCTTGCCAGAAGGGTGCTTTACACTACAGTTTTTAAACTGCAACATTAACACCCCTCCTTCAGAGTGCAGGCACTGTACTTCCCCTCTCCAGGACTCAAGTCCGGCCCGCCGGTTTCCCTGAACCCCTTCAAAAATGTTACTTTGCTCACACTCCAACAGCACGTCAAGTATTAAAAACCATTTGTCTCCATTCACTCCTATCAAACACACTCATGCATACCTGCTGGAAGTCCAAGCCCCTCGCACACAAAACCTCCTTTACCCCCTCTCTCCAACCTTTCCTAGGCCGACCCCTACCCTGCCTTCCTTCCACTACAGACTGATACACTCTTGAAGTCATTCTGTTTCGCTCCATTCTCTCTACATGTCCGAACCACCTCAACAACCCTTCCTCAGCCCTCTGGACAACAGTTTTGGTAATCCCGCACCTCCTCCTAACTTCCAAACTACGAATTCTCTGCATTATATTCACACCACACATTGCCCTCAGACATGACATCTCCACTGCCTCCAGCCTTCTCCTCGCTGCAACATTCATCACCCATGCTTCACACCCATATAAGAGCGTTGGTAAAACTATACTCTCATACATCCCCTCTTTGCCTCCAAGGACAAAGTTCTTTGTCTCCACAGACTCCTAAGTGCACCACTCACTCTTTTTCCCTCATCAATTCTATGATTCACCTCATCTTTCATAGACCCATCCGCTGACAAGTCCACTCCCAAATATCTGAATACATTCACCTCCTCCATACTCTCTCCCTCCAATCTGATATTCAATCTTTCATCACCTAATCTTTTTATCCTCATAACCTTACTCTTTCCTGTATTCACCTTTAATTTTCTTCTTTTGCACACCCTACCAAATTCATCCACCAATCTCTGCAACTTCTCTTCAGAATCTCCCAAGAGCACAGTGTCATCAGCAAAGAGCAGCTGTGACAACTCCCACTTTGTGTGTGATTCTTTATCTTTTAACTCCACGCCTCTTGTCAAGACCCTCGCATTTACTTCTCTTTCAACCCCATCTATAAATATATTAAACAACCATGGTGACATCACACATCCTTGTCTAAGGCCTACTTTTACTGGGATGTGTGATGTCACCGTGAAGTATTAAAACAAAAAAATTTTTTACATGAAATATAGATGCAGTACATAAACAATACAATGGGACATGATGAAACATTAATAGCATAACACTTACCTTTATTGGCGATTCTTCTTAGTGTATGGAAGACTGGAGGAGAGAGATTGGATTAGTTACTGATTGGAAGGGGAATCACCTCAGGTACCAAGTGCTTTTCTAGGGTTACTTCTCTTCTCTGTTTCTTAATGCCACTAGGACCAGCTTGAGAGTCACTGGAGCCCTGTCTCACAAAAAAAGTGTCCAGTGAGCTCTGTTTCTGGCATCTCTTTAAAACTTCCCTAAAATGGGCCAAGACTGTCACTGTACAAGTTGCCGATATGGCTTGCAACATCCTTCTCAGGGTGATGTTTCTCCATAAATCTTTCCATCCTACCCCACATTTCACCATGCCTTATCACACTGTGTATGCCACTACACTTCTTAAATCTCTCAAACCAACCTTTGCTGGCCTTAAATTCACAATTATCAGTACTCGTTGCAGGCAATTTCTTTACCAGATCGTCATGCAACTGCCTAGCCTTTTCACAGATAATCGACGTCATAAGAGTATCTCCTGCTAATTGTTTCTTGTTTATCCACACCAATAATAACTTCTCAACATCGTCGAGTACTGGTGATCTCATTTTTGTCAGCATATTTACCCCCTTTGCAACAACAGCTTCCTTGATTCCCTTTTTCTTGGCCACGATGGAAGCTATGGTTGTATGGAGTTTCTTATACATCCTGGCCAGTTCGGCCACACGTACACCACTTTCATATTGTTCAATGATGTTTTTCTTAAATTCAATCGTATTTCTCACCTTCTTTACCAAAGGCTTGGCACTAGGAGCTTTCTTTGGAGCCATGGTAGCTTATTTAGTAGTTGCAAGCACTAAAATGAATGGAATATTATGAAATATTTCGTATGAACAAGTGAGAGGACCATCGCTCACTGGTAAACAATGGGACACTGGCTGGGAACGGCTCAGAGCCGTGAGTACGCGTCCCAGACGAACGACTATTCGCGAGTCAAACGACGATTAGCGAGCCAATGTTTTGACGAAAATAATGTTATGATTTTCGAAAATTATGACTATCGAGCCTTACGATTATTGAGGGACCACTGTATTCACAAAAAAATAATTTTATTAACAATTATGTAAGTATTAAATACTTTATTGAAGGCTAATGCTGGCTTCTGGAAGATAGGGAAGAGGAAAGAGGGAGTAGTTAGTGTTTGGAACAGGAATCCCCCTCCATAAAGACTTTAGGTATCAAAGCCTTCATTGGGGTTACTTCCCTTCTCTGTCTTTTATTGCCACTGGGACCAGCTTGAGTCACTGGACCCCTGTCTCACAAAATAACTGTCCAGAGTGCTCTGTTTCTGGCATCTCTTTTAAGATTTCCCTGAAGTGGGCTGGGTTTTGTCACTAAACATGTTGCAGATATGGCTTGTTTCAGCTTTGTCAGGGTGGTGTTTCTCTACAAAAGCTTGCACCCTAGTCCACATTGCACACATCTCTGAAGAAGACACCTCCTTCACTCCCTCTTCCTACTCCTCTGAAGCAAGTTCCTCAGCTGCTGTCTGTTGCTATTCGAGATGAAGCTCTTGCAGCTCTTCAGTGGTTAGTTCTTCCCTGTGGTCATCCACCAACACTTCCATATCCTTGCCACTCACCTCCAACCCCAGGGACTTCCCCAGTGCAACAGTAGAGTCCACAGGGTCGGCAGGGTCAGGGTCAGCCTCAAAACCTGTCAAAATCCATCTTTTAGACACAATCTGGCCACAGTTTTCTCCAAGCAGAGTTCAAAGCCCTGGAAGTCACCCCCTCCCAAGCCTTACCTATAAGGTTTATGCAATGGAGGATAGCGAAGTGATTCCTCCAGAACTGTCTTACGGTCAATTGAGTGTCTGAGGTCACTTCAAAGCATTTTTGAAACACTGCTTTTGTGAAGAGTTTTTTGAAGTTAGAAATGGCCTGCTGGTCCATGGGCTGGAGGAGAGGAGTGGTGTTAGGAGGCAAGAACTTCACTGTGATGAAACTGAAGTCCCTAAACACTTGGTCTTGCAAGTCTGGAGGATGTGCAGGAGCATTGTCCAGTACCAGGAGGCACTTGAGTGGCAATTTCTTTTCCAGGAGGTATTTTTTCACACTCAGGCCAAACACATCATTAACCCACTCTTTGAAAATTTGCCTTGTGACCCATGCCTTATGATTAGCTTTCCACATCACACACAATCTATTCTTCATGACACTTTTTTCTTGAACACTCTGGGATTTTCTGAGTGATACACAAGTAAAGGTTTCACTCTGAAATCCCCACTAGCATTACCACACAACAAAAGAGGAAGCCTGTCTTTCATAGGCTTGTGTCCTAGCAGTGCCTTTTCCTCCTGGGTAATGTAGGTCCTGTTTGGCATATTCTTCCAAAACAGGTCTGTTTCATCACAACTGAACGCTTGTTGGGGTTCGAATCCTTCAGCCTTTACACAGTCCTGGAATTCATGAACATACTTTTCAGCTGCACATTTGTCAGAACTTGCAGCCTCACCATGCCTTACAACACTGTGTATGCCACTATGCTTCTTAAATCTATCAAACCATCCTTTGCTGGCCCTAAATTCACAAACTGCAGCACTTGTTCCAGGCATTTTCTTTGCAAGATCCTCAAGCAACTGCTTTGCCTTCTCACAAATAGTAGACTCCACAACACTGTCTCCCACTAATTCTCTTTCCTTAATCCACAATAATAACTTTTCCATCTCTTCCATTATTGGTGGCCTTTGTTTAGTTAGAAAAGTTACTCCTTTTGCAACATTAGCATCTTTGATTTGTTCTTTCTTTGCCAGGATGGATGTAATTGTTGATTTATTCTTGCTGTACATCCTTGCAAGTTCCACCATTTTCATACCACTCTCAAACTTTTCTATCACTTCATGCTTAAATTTCATGGTGTTTCTCACTTTCTTTACCACTGGAACTTTACTAGGAACTTTCCTTGGAGCCATCTTTACTTATTTCATAGTTGCACTGCAAGATAAACCATTAAAAACAATGGTAAACAAGCGAAATGTTTCGATGTATGAGCAGAAGCTTCCTCAGCCACCGAGAGACAGAGCCAAACTGAAGCGCAAGCTGCCCCAGGCAGCGGATGGACGCATCCAAAACGGCTGATAACCGGGCACCGAAAAACCAGCCGATAACCAAGTTGGCCGATAACGAAACCAACCGATAACCAGGGGTCCACTGTATAACCCTTAATTTTGCTTAATAATGGCCTCAAAGTGCAAAAATAGTGATGAAGCCATGAAGTGCTTCCTGTCAGTGAAGTCATAATTCTCCACTTACTTTGCAAAATTTATCCAATAAACTTTATAATAGGAATGTATGTAAACCAAAAATGACATATATAGAATTCACTACCAGCCACGGGTTCAGTATCCACGGCAGGTTCTTGGAACATTATGCCTGTGGATACAGGGGTCCTACTGTAGTCAAACAATGTGATATACAGTGGACCCCGCCTTACGATATTATTTCATTCCAGAAGTCTGTTCGGGTGCCATTATAGACCGAATTTGTTCTCATAAGGAATATAGTGAATTAGATTAGTCCGTTTCAGATCCCCAAAAATACATGTACAAAAGCACTTACAAAAATACACTTACATAATTGGTTGAGTTGGGAGTTGATCGTAAGGCGGGGGTCCACTGTATTTCCATATTTCGAGGATTGTCACACCTTGAAATAACTGTCATATCGATATTTCTTATACATAAGTACAGTGGTACCCCGTGTTTGGAACTTCCTTCATTCTAGAAGGCTCTTCAAGTGCCAATACTGGACGAATTTGTTCCCATAAGAAATAATGTAAATTAGTTTAGTCCGTTTCAGACCCCCAAAAATACACATACAAAAGCATTTACAATAATAAACCTACATAACTGTTCCAGTTGGGAGCGGTTCGAAACTCAGGGTACCACTGTATCAGAAACCCAAAGCAATAAAAAAGTAAAAAAAAATTATTTGTTGTAGTTTATATTGTATATTATACATGGTGCAGTGTTGGGCTATTTATTCCCTCATGTTTGAAGTACATGTATGTGCTAATACACCTTGAAACCCATCTAAAATCATAAGAAATTAGTGTAAACAATTATAAAACAAAAAGGGAACAATAATCAGAATTTAGAATCAATAAATTGTATACACACCCCTCTGGGTTTTCTTCTATTTTCTTTCTAGTTCTTGTTCTTGTTTATTTCCTCTTATCTCCAAGGGAAAGTGGAACAGAATTCTTCCTCCGAAAGCCATGCGTGTTGTAAGAGGCGACTAAAATGCCGGGAGCAAGGGGCTAGTAACCTCTTCTCCTGTATATATTACTAAATGTAAAAGGAGAAACTTTCGTTTTTCCTTTTGGGCCACCCTGCCTCGGTGGGATACGGCCGGTGTGTTGAAAGAAAGAAAGAAATTGTATACACACCCCTCTGGGTTTTCTTCTATTTTCTTTCTAGTTCTTGTTCTTGTTTATTTCCTCTTATCTCCAAGGGAAAGTGGAACAGAATTCTTCCTCCGAAAGCCATGCGTGTTGTAAGAGGCGACTAAAATGCCGGGAGCAAGGGGCTAGTAACCCCTTCTCCTGTATAAATTACTAAATTTGAAAAGAGAAACTTTTGTTTTTCTTTTTGAGCCACCCTGCCTCGGTGAGATACAGTTTGTTTGTTGAAAAAAAAAATTGTAAAACGTAAATATCGTTGGCGCATTTATGTTGCTGTTGCCAACAAGTGATCATTTTTTATCAGGGGTTCCACTCATTTTAGTTAGATTTGATTTATAAAAATGCTTTCTTTCAAGCTGTAAGAAAAAAAATCTTGTTATTTTCTAAAATCTTGCCACTTACACAAGAATTTTAATATCTGGGTATGCCACAGTTAAGGGATTAAACACAAGAGAGAAGCCATTAGATAGGAAGACAGAGGTACTAGGAAGATGAAGGAAATACTTTGAGAAATTGATGAATGTTGATGAAGAGAGGAAGGCAGTGATTTCTTGCACTGGGCAGAGGTATAACATCCTTCTGCAACCTGCTGGTATTATCACACCATTCACAAATGCGTGTGAAATGGGTGGAGTACGGGGCCGATTATCCTGTCAATTAGGGACAAGGACTCAAGTTTTCCTTCATCGCCCTACATCAGACCTCTCAAACACTGTAAATTATGGTGGGCTCTGAAAAATGATGTTGAGCCATTGCCAAATTTCAAAGTAATATCTAGTAACAAGTATGAAAACCCTGCAAATGATGCTGGGGTCACACTGGTCCCAACCTCCCTTGCAGAGTATGTACACTATTTACTAGTAATGAGACTCTGCAAGTGGGTTCAATAATGTCAAAAAAATTTGTAGCCTCATAGGAGGTTATCCAACTGAGCTTTAGAAATTCAAGGATCCTATGTTAATTTTAAGTGTCTTCCTTTTTCCTGACAGTGATTTAATCCACAGTGAATAATACTCTCAAAGATTTTGGATTCAAGTCCCGTTCCTGTGACAAAGATAAAGGATTTTCTATGATTTTTCCTCATATCCTGCCACTACCTTCTGCCATCCATTTACATACATTCTCTTTGCATCAAGTGACATACATACTAACACCAGAACTTGCAGATGGGATTCCCTACAGAGAGTTATGTAACTAACTGTTAGCAACTGGTAAATAAAAGTAACCTGAGTAATTACTGCTTACTAAGTGTAAAGCAGTACTTTAAGCATTTTAATATTATTATGTGAGAACAAGATGGTTCTGCATTCTGGGGATCATCAGACCCACAGCAGTACAGGTTGGCCATCACCAATCCGGCATCATTGGGACCTGTAGTGTGCCAGATTAGTGAGTTTGCCGGATTACAGAGTAGTTAGGTTAGAATACACTTAATTAACCTATCAATAGAGACTTTCTGCTACAACTTCCTCATTTTCATCACTGCTTTCTCCACCACTGGCTTGCTGCTGTGGATTTACAACCATCTGCACAATTCTGAGTCAGTATAATGATGAAATTTGAAATTATACTAGCCAAAATTAGTGCTGGATTACTGATGGAACCGGATAACTGATCGCCAGATTAGTGATAGCCGACCTGTATTACAAGTTACTACCTGAATCGCCTGTACCAACTTCATCTCTCTCCATCTCCAATGTCAACACTCTGCCTCAGACTTTGACACTTATATTTGTACAAGATTTTACTACATTTCTCTCTCTTATAAAGCTTCTCTATATAGTGCAATTTTTCAGAAATGCAAATGAAAAAGTTAAGTGAAAATTGTATAGTGCATACTATGAATGCCTCTCCATTCATTACTCAGTTTTGGATGTAACTGTTCAGTTGCATTTACATATATGTAACTGAAACTTCATAAAAAAGCTGAACATTTATAATGTAATCTCTCCTTTTTTTTTCAAACTTGCTAGAAGAGAGACAATTATTTACTTACCAAAATGGTTTCTGAATTGGGAAGCTGAACAACAAGAAACGGAACTTTGCGATAGTCGGTCCATTTTGTCTGTGAGCGCGTGACTGAGTTAACTTCTATCACATCATAAGAGAAGCCATAATAGTCAAGGAATGCCCTAACTTTACAGCAAAATGGGCATGTTTGATACTGAAAGAGTGTGATCTTCAAGCCTGTAGTGTCAGTTGTAAGATGAATCTGAAAGAGAATATAAATGTTAATACAGGTAATAAAAACTTGAAAGAACAAATGATATGCAAAAAGTAGAAATGACAATCACACACACTGAAAGTCTACATATTTACATAATACAAGTATTGTAGTGCAATTTACTGTACTGAGTACAATGGCAGTAGTTGCTGTCAATGTACTCAGGCCATTTTTGACTGATAAAAGGAAAATTAAAGACAAAACGACCTTCAAAAGAACTGACAAGGAAGACTCCCTAACCCCATTAACTGGCAGGACATGATACCATAACCTAAGGAAGAAAAATTGTCAAAAAGGACACTAGATAGTTATCACCAACAATGGGAAGAAAATCACAAAACGGGTGAGGCTCGAGCCCATGGCAGGGAAAAGGACAGGTCCGTTTCCTTGGATCAAGATCCTTCTCCAGCTCAAATGGAGATAGTATGTGCTACAACAACTCTAAATTTAAAACTGTTACAATAGTCAAGTAAGACTAAATATATACTACTTAAATCAGGGGCAAAGCTACAATGGGCAGTAGACAGAAGCAAGAGAATAAGTCACTGAGAGAAGTAGGACTGTAAGATTCATTTACTTACACAGAACTATTAAAATCATAAAATGCAGAAGTACTGAGCATTAAAGTGGAGAAAAAGAATGTGGAAAGTAATCGTACATGTACTATATAAACCATAGTCAGCAACGGCACAGGAATTCCCAGAATCGATAAGAAAGATAGAAGACACCTTATTTATTTATTTATTTTATGTCTTTGCAAACAGTACATTGAGATTTTGTATTTGAAAATCCTACACTAAATACTATTATCTTCCTTGGTAATTTCAATCCTCTAAATGTTAAGTGGAAAATAGTAGACATCAACATTGTACCAGAAGCACATTAACCATACAGATACTTATCATAGAGTTATTGGAGCTCTGAAATATTTGCTTTGAACCAGAGATAACAGAACCTACTTAAAATTAAAATACACTATACATGATCTTCATGAAAAATGAGTATATAACTAATCAATGACAGTCTCAAATACAATGTACTCTGAGGGACTGATCACCTCAAATTGGTACTTCATGCCTTCTAATGTCTGCTGTATTATACCCTAGACTGGATTGATAAAACCACTGGTTGGCAAAACATATCCATAATAAATACCAAAGTGTTGTACAGGTATCTTATTCATCTACTTGTCAATTCTGTAAAAATAAATTAATATGTGATCCTAATCTGTACCTGTAATAGTATGTAAGTGGTCCCTGACCACTTCCCTATATCATCATAGAAGGTCAGGTGCTTTAAGTTGACCGTGAGGTGTAATCTGGTCCTTATATGCTGTCTGCTGATCTTTTACTTTTATAGTTCCTTGATAATGTGAGAAATCACAAAAGCACTTGGAAATTCACTATTTTTTTCACAGTGGTTGTTCTGCATATTGTAGTATCACCTGTTTTACCGAGATCTTATTGTAACACATGTTATAATCCTTATCCAAATCCCTATACTAGTATTAAGTTGTTATTAAGTGTTCTTCTGATCAACAAGGCACATAAAATAAGCATCAATCTTTAAAAATACAAAAAAAGTACCCAGAGCAGAATCAATACCATAAATACACTATATTTTTTGGAAATGAAATGTGACCAATTGACCCCTTTTTTAATGAAGTGTTCAGAGTCGGTCCCCTTCTATCAGGGCTTTGAAGCCAGTGTTGGGTCCCAGAGTACAGCACCATGAGCTCAGCTCACTCTGGTAAGCTGTGAGCGGTAAATTTAGGCCTAGATAGGAGATAATGGGTCTATGGTGCACAGTTATATGGTGCACAGTTATTTACTGTGCACCATATAAAAAAAAGTCCTGCATCGTGCAGTGCATAAAGAGAAAAAACTGCGACCGTGTTTTTGGTTAAAAAGAGCAACTTTGCAGTATATTTTCATGTGGTTTTAATTATTGTATTCTCAATTTCTTGGTCTCATTTGACAGAATGGAAGATATATTACAGAAACAGAGATATTTTGATTGGCTTCAATACTAAAAGTGTCTTGAAATTGAGCTCAAAGTAGTGGGAATGTCAGATTTTTGCCGATATTCCAGAGTACAGAAATGATGTCCAGAATAAATAATCCAGACATTCCAGGAATGTCTGTATTGTTTATTCTGGACTCTGTTTTGAAATTGGTATTTCTTAAATTTTGTCTGAAATTGGCCAAATTACCAATTTCTGATCACCTTACTGGGTAGTTTAAATATCTGAATGGGCAGTTTCTTGTACTTATTCGATAGAATAAAAGACATACTAGCGAAATATTTAAAAATTTGGTCAACTGGAACAATGGAACCGGCCTAAAATCTGCCAAAAAGTGGACGAAACAGCCGATGCGTAAATGTTTCACTACTTTAGGGCTACGCAACTTACAATTTTATTAGGCAAGATAACTGTACTTATGTACCTAAATCAACTTAATAAATTACATGTAAACTGGACTTACAGATCTGGCGGGAGTGAAGGTCGGCGGCGGCTGTGAGAGTACATATTCTTGGTCCTTGGCTGGGCTACCTAGACGTGTAGTGTTGTAGTTATGATACATGTAGGCGGTGGTGAGGGCAGCACCCACCCCGAAGCCCACCCCAGCCCACCGGCTGACCCTCCAGGCTGTGCCGTGGGCTGTGCTAGCCCACCGTAATGATGACACTCCTAACTTAGCCTCAGCACCGCCAACCTTAACACTGCCAACCAAAATACTTCCATTATGGCGAATATTTGTCAGGAGTCTCCTCACAGGCAGAGACATAGTGTGGGACCTGGGTACTGAGACCTGGGTACTGGGACCTGAGACCTGAAAGGACACCGGTACCTACGTCTTGTTGGGTTTGTAAGGGTCACTGACAGCATATGTCGTGTCCAGTGCTGCTGCCAGATGTGCGGGGACAAAACAGGACAATGAAAGTAAAGGCAAAGGGAATTCAATTCCCAAAGGGAAATATAAACTAGAAGATTCCAGGTGGGTCAGGTGGACCCCCTGGTAGAAGCTCCAGGACGGCGGGACACCAACACACTCACCTGAGTATTGTTACCGGCTTTCTATAAAAACCGTTATATCAAACTCGGGGATAAAGGAGGCTGAGCTGATCAAAGATGCCCTCCCCCTCTTGTAAAGTGCCCAGCGGCCAAAATATGAGGAATACCGTCCCACAGATAACGGGGAAAACGTGTCGCCGATACCCAGGCGAGAGCAAAACATCGAGACTGAGCAATGACTGGTGCAGTAGTCCCCTGGCTCCTGGGGCCTCCAGTCACCTGACTCATGGACAACATTACCGGGATTCACATAATTTACAGAAAAAAAAACAAATTGATCATCTTCAACAGATGCTGATAAAATTTTATAAATATAGGTAGTCAAAAGTGCAGCAATCTCCATTCAGTTTCAAACAATTTGTGAGGAAGAAGCCAATAACTCATAGCTTCGAACATTGCCTTGGAACGCCTGGCAAAATGCCGAGAAATGCTTATATATAACACTACACTATCACTATATAACACTATGTAACACTGAGAGTAACACAACACACACAGTAGATAAAGCTGCAGGGTAACATAACAACTTAGCAGGAAACTTTGAAAGTAACGCAGGAATATAGGAGATTAGATTAGATTAGATTTTGCCACCGAAGTGGCTAGTTTATTGTGCACCCCATATCCATCCTGTGGACGGTAGCGCGAGAGCATATGGATACACTAAAGGCCTAGGAACTAGGCCCCAAAGGGTTAACAGGAATACATGTGGATTTATATCTACATATCTATAGTTCACTTATCTGTTACAAGCAAATTTAGGAAATTTGCTTAGTATATCTGGTATCTTATTTTCATTAATAAGATATCTTGACATGTAACATAGGTTATTATACTGTCTGTCTCTGTATTCCTCAATAAGTGGACAATTAAGCACATAGTGTTCAAGAGAGTGACCATATCCCTGATCACATAATTTACATTTAGTTTGATCATCATCTGTGTGTCTCCCAAACTGCCAGAAGTACTTGTAACCAAGCCTAAGCCTGGCCACTACAACATCAGTCAGTCTGTTCACATTGCAAGTTGCTCCATAAACATACTTATCTACGTTCATGTTATCATAGTGGGTTATAGATCTACTCAGGCTTCTAACTGCATTCCTATAACAATCATTTTCATTATTTACTTCTCTCCTAATATTATTCCTAATGCTAGACACAGTTATACCAAAGTTATATTCTACATTCTCCTTCTGGGTACTCTTCTTGGCTAACATATCAACTTTATCATGAAGGAGTAATCCAATGTGTGATGGGATCCGTAGCAACTGTACATTAATTCCTTTGTCAATAATTTTTGAGTATAGTAGGAAAAAGCAAGGACAGCGTAAATAATATAGTGGATAATACTGAAGGCAACACAGCAAATAACTTTCAAGGTAACGCGGCAATTAAGACATGTGCAACATCTGGGTATCTTTATTGTAGACGTTTCGCCATCCAGTGGCTTTATCAATACAAATTCTAGGACATAACTTGAAGACAGTAAGACTATGTACAGAAGATGAGGTAATCAGTCCCTCAACCTTGGAGTAGGTGCGAAGAGCACCGTAGTCGTGGAGATTCTGAAGCAGATCAATCAATCAATCAAGGACTCACAGGTAAGGACCCACGAGGGGTGAGGGGCAAGTGGGGACAGTGCGAAGAATAGACGGTGAGAGGAATGTCTTGAGTCGAAGAGAGAAGAGTCAGGACTAGACCCAACTGCTAAGCCTGGATAAACAATAACGAAGACGACATAGAAGACAGCAGGAACTCTGCGGGTGCTGACTGCAACTTGCTGGATGGAAGATTGCTGCATCTTGATGTTGATTGGCGGTTGGCAGAAGCTGGAGGCGTGGTCAAGGGAGGCTAGCTTCTTGATTGGTCAGGTGTCGTTAAATTGTGAGTCAGGAGTTACTTCATTTCTTCAGTGTGGGAGGCATTCCTTATGTTGTGCAGTTGTTGGAAGGAAACGATGAGTAGTCTTGTAATCTTGGGTCGAAATGCTGGGTCGGCTTGTAACTGGTCAAGGGTCATCTTGAGTGTAGTGAAGGAGCAGTGGGATCCTTTACGATTTGTAAACTTGACTGTTCTGTCGTGTATTTTCTCGTACAAAGTGTCGACATTCATGGTGGGTTCTTGGTCAGGAGTCGTATAAAAAGTTATATCTTTCCAGTGCAGGTATTGATCTCGATGTTGGTCTTCTGTATTAATACGTCGAGTGATGACTGGAGAGGTTTTTGTTGGTGGTTGCAGCATTGAAGGTTCTTTCAATGTTGGTGTCTCCGCTAGAGAGTGTGTAGAAGACGGAATCGTGGTAGAATCGTGGCTTCTGATTGGTCCATATGAGTAGTGGTGAGTGGAGATGAAGGAGGTACGCCGCCACGACGAGCCAATAGCGAGAGCCTGAGCTTGCTACCATCTGCAGCTCATAAGACTGCCATCCCCACGAGCCCCTTTGAGGCGGGGTAGATGGCAGACCAGAGGCCTAGCTTCTCCCTACGAGCCCCGTGAGGGCGGGGAATGTGGCTAGGCCTGGGGACACTTGGTCCCAAAGATGAGGAGGTACTGTACCTCCTCCCATGGGAGACTTAAGTCTCGAGACACTCCCCAGATAGGGAGCCAAGGCCGGGTCACCACTACTTGGAAAAGACCCGGGCCGGGAGAATACCGGTGAATAAAAAAAAAAAAAAAAAAAACGACGAGCCAATCGACGAGTAGGAGGCGTAGTGCTGACTTGGATGTTATCAGGTGAACGTTGACTGGAGATTCAAAAAAGGATGCGTCGTCATTGTCAATTATTAATTCCTTCAAGTCATCTGGCGCTTCAAAACTGACGATCTTCGGGATTATTTTCAAAATTTCAGCTGATGGTGGACTTGCAGGGAAGTTAAATGATGGCATATTGTTGAGTGCAAGAAGTTCATTGATAGTCGTGTTGAAAGAGCCAGGATTTGCAGCATTTTGCATGTGGGCAAACATCATGCAGTAATAGAATTTGGTGGAAATATCATCAGGTGGAGGCTGGGTAGTGAGAGGTGGTGGAGACGACTGTTGAGTAGCTTGTAGAATCTTGGATGTTGTGGCCCGGTGGTCTGGTGGCTAAAGCTCCCGCTTCACACACGGAGGGCCCGGGTTCGATTCCCGGCGGGTGGAAATTCCGACACGTTTCCTTACACCTATTGTCCTGTTCACCTAGCAGCAAATAGGTACCTGGGTGTTAGTCGACTGGTGTGGGTCGCATCCTGGGGGACAAGATTAAGGACCCCAATGGAAATAAGTTAGACAGTCCTCGATGACGCACTGACTTTCTTGGGTTATCCTGGGTGGCTAACCCTCCGGGGTTAAAAATCCGAACGAAATCTTATCTTATCTTATCTAGATTGAATCTTGGCAATTGCAGCGTATGTAGGAGAGGTTCCAGATGACTTCTTTGTTTCTTCCTTTAGTTTCTTAGAAAGGATATCCTTTTGCACTGGACACTTGGCTGCAAGAGTATGGTGATCACTCTTACAGTTGATGCAAGTGGGAGCAGCAGTGGAAGTGCAAGAACGAAAATAGTGTCCTGCAGACCCACAGGTGGAACATATCTTCTTATTTTTCACGTGGCAGTCGGCAGTAGAGTGACTGTACGAGTAACATGTCCAGCAAGGTGTTATGTACGTGAAGCGTTCAGGTTCAATCTGTCGAGGATTGATATAGTAGTAAGAGATGGCCAGGCCATCAGACAGTGCTCTGGTCGCCATGGTAACGTCCAGGAATGTGACCTTGAGCATTGAGGAAGCGTTGGGGATCTTCACTACAGTGTCAATCTTGGCCCAGGTGTTGAGGTCTTCAAGTGATGTAGTAATTTCCTGGATGGTCATGTTCGTGATCAGCTTGTCAAGACGTTTCATAAACACTGAACGTTTTGCAAGCACGTATGGTGACGTAGAGATGGTAAAGCCTCGGTCTTCTAAGGTCTTCATGGCAGTAGGTGTAAGCACCTTGTCAGCTTCATTATCATCGAGAAAAGTGACGATGAAAGCTTCTTTCAGTGACGTGATCTTGGAGAACTTTGCGTGAAGACAAGTGTTGAGAGAAGCTGCAAGCTCAAGCTTCGTGACGTTATCGACGACAGCAGACTTGGGCTTAATTCTCACACGATGAGACATCGTGGAGATGGTAGAGGTTCCCCTCCCCAACGGGGATCGTAGGGATACTGTGCGAGTAAGGAGAGCTGCTATGACCTGCCTGGGCGAGAGTCAACAGCATTATTATTATTATAATCAAAAAGAAGCGCTAAGCCACAAGGACTATACAGCCTGACGCTTATATAGTAACGTCAGGTGTAGCAGACGAAGGCATAGTCACTGGTAGGTGGGATTCCCCAGTGGAAGTAGGTCCTTCCCAAAGAGATGGGTTAGTTGTAGTAGTAGTTGTCGTAGTCGTGAAGGTATTGTACATGTCCTCAGAATCAAGATTCCATGATGTTGCAGTGTCTGACAAGTTGTGCAAGAATGGTATATAATACCGACAAGATGAAATTAAGACACATGTGCAACATCTGGGTATCTTTAATGTAGACGTTTCGCCATCCATTTGCTAACCCATCTCTTTGGGAAGGACCTACTTCCACTGGGGAATCCCACCTACCAGTGACTATGCCTTCGTCTGCTACACCTGACGTTACTATATAAGCGTCAGGCTCCTTGCTTCTGCTCCTGCTCCTGGTTGGGAGGATCAGACTTCGACACTCGGCATTGGAACAGGCAAGAGAAGAGGAATTCTTCATCCCGCTCCAGGACTTGGTGCGTAGCTGGCTGCCTGCCCCTGGGCAGACAGTTGGCCTCTGCACTCTTGTAGCTGGGTGAAGTCTTCCCTACTCTATCCCTGCGATCCCCGTTGGGGAGGGGAACCTGTACCATCGCCGTCTTCACCTTCATGCACGATGAGCTACGCAAATCGTGTCAAGATCAAGCCAACGAGTGGTACCGTTGATGATTCAACGAAGATTGCTCTTGCAACTGTTGTTCAAGGAACACTGCAAGTCAAATTCAACGCCATTTTGTCTCTGAAAGAAGCATTTATTGTTGTGTGTCACGATGATGCTGAAGCAGAGAAGCTACTCACTACAGATGCCACCACTACACTTACTGCTCAAGGGTTTACTGTTATGTCATCTCCTGCGCTCAAGGCCAGGAAATCAGTATTCCTCAAAAAACTGGACAAGATTCTGACGTCTCAATCACCTGCAGAACTCAAGACATCAATCGAGACTCAAAATACTTGGGCTACTGTTGACAGCATCACAAAAATCCCGAATGCATCGTCC